TGGTAACTGCTAAGACAGGTGTGAGCAGAGACATGGTAACTGCTAAGACAGGTGTGAGCAGAGACATGGTAACTGTAAAGACAGGTGTGAGCAGAGACATGGTAACCGCTAAGACAGGTGTGAGCAGAGACATGGTAACCGCTAAGACAGGTGTGAGCAGAGACATGGTAACCGCTAAGACAGGTGTGAGCAGAGACATGGTAACCGCTAAGACAGGTGTGAGCAGAGACATGGTAACCGCTAAGACAGGTGTGAGCAGAGACATGGTAACTGTAAAGACAGGTGTGAGCAGAGACATGGTAACTGTAAAGACAGGTGTGAGCAAGAGACATGGTAACTGTAAAGACAGGTGTGAACAGAGACATGGTAACTGCTAAGACAGGTGTGAGCAGAGACATGGTAACTGCTAAGACAGGTGTGAGCAGAGACATGGTAACTGTAAAGACAGGTGTGAGCAGAGACATGGTAACTGCTAAGACAGGTATGAACAGAGACATGGTAACTGCTAAGACAGGTGTGAACAGAGACATGGTAACCGTAAAGACAGGTGTGAGCAGAGACATGGTAACTGTAAAGACAGGTGTGAACAGAGACATGGTAACTGCTAAAACAGGTGTGAGCAGAGACATGGCAACTGTAAAGACAGGTGTGAGCAGAGACATAGTAACTGCAAAGACAGGTGTGAGCAGAGACAAGGAAACTGTAAAGACAGGTGTGAGCAGAGACATGGTAACCGCTAAGACAGGTGTGAGCAGAGACATGGTAACCGCTAAGACAGGTGTGAGCAGAGACATGGTAACCGTAAAGACAGGTGTGAGCAGAGACATGGTAACTGTAAAGACAGGTGTGAGCAGAGACATGGTAACCACTAAGACAGGTGTGAGCAGAGACATGGTAACCGCTAAGACAGGTGCGAGCAGAGACATGGTAACTGGTAAGACAGGTGTGAGCAGACTTGGGTGCTGGGGACTCAGCTCCAGTCGTCTGGAAGAACAGCTAGTGCTTGTAACTGCTAAGCCATTTCTCCAGCCCCAGTAGTTTTCAGAACACTTTTTAGGTTCACAAAAACTAAACTGAGCAGAATGTAGAAAACTTGTGCTCTGTCCTCAAATGTCCACAGCCCTCTCGATCAACACTACTCCCCCCAGGAGTGCTCCATTTGCTACAACTGATAAGCCTATTGATACATCCAGAGCCTATTATTTATATCACAGAGCAGAGTCTTGTGTTTGGACAAAGGTACAATGACATGCACCCACTGTAATAACGTCAGAGTATTTCATCTGCCCTAAAACACATCATTCCTCTACTCACCCCCATCACCCATAGTCTGTCTCCAGAGTTCCCTTCCCAGAACTTTATGTAGCAAATCAGGCCAAATCCAGCATTTTCATTAGCATTCTTCACCTAGTCTTACTTCATGTCTTTGCATGGATTGATACCTTCTTATTCCATTTAGTGATGAAGAGTACCCATCCCATTGGCTGGCTACATCACAGTTTATGTATCCAAGAACGTCTTCGTTGTTCCTAGTTTAGCAGTTATGAGTAAAGCTACCATAAACATCCATATATAAATTCTGTGTGACCCTGAGCTTTCAGCTCCTTTGGATAAATTCCAAGGAGCATGATTTCTGGATTATTAGAAGACTATCAAAGTACCTGTTGCTCTCTGTTGGTACCAGCACTTGGTACAGCCAGAGTTCCAGGCTTTGATATACCAATAGGTGTTTGGTGGTATCTTGTTCTTTGTATTGGTACACATTTCAGCTATATCATCTGATGATGGAAGATACAAAATAATCCCACACTAGTTCAGAATTATGTATAATAAAGGGTTATTTATTTAGGGGAGACCCATAGATCACTGTCCTAAATCACAATCCTCTGCACTAACGGGGAACAGAAACAGACTCTAGCAGCCAGAAGTGAGAACCGGGAGCAAGAGAGCCAGCACAAGCTTTATAGCTGCATTTGTAGTATAAGAGACCATGCCCAAGTGGGCTGCTATCTTAAAGGCTGTTGGCCAAAGGAGCTCCCACAGGAATCATCTTTTCACAGGTGTGTGCCACCAGTGTATCCTCTTCGGTAAGGATTTTCTTCAGGGTCCTAGTTTCATTTCTGTTGCTGTGTTAAAACCATCCCGACAAAAAGGCAGCTGAGGGGAGGAGGAAGGAGTTTATTTGGCTTTACAATATATAGTCCATTATTTGGGGGAAGTCAAAGCAGCGATTCATGTAGTTAGTTTCAGTCATATCCACAATCAAGAGCAGAGCGACACAGAAGCAAGCTACCGGCATGCTTGCTCTCAGCTAGCTTTCTTCACTCAAACACAGTTCATGCTCCACCCATGGAACAGTGCCACCCACATTCACTGTAACTTCGGTTCTAGGGGTCTCAACACCCTACACAGACATACGTTCAGGCAACACACCAAATGCGTACAAAATCTCAACAAAGCCTGGTGGGGGCCCCATGGTGGAAGAAGAGGAGCTTCTTCAGGTAGTGTTTTGCCTCCACATATGCGTGTCCCCAAATCAGACCAATGAATGAAAAACAAACCTAAAAGATTGTATTGTGTGACTGTGCCCCAGATTAGGAAGGGGAAGTTTTACAAGTTCTATGGAAAATACAAATTTGTGCATTTTGCTCTGTAGTTATCTCGGACTTGAGTGGTGTTATTTAAAAGGATTAGAACACGTGGTCTTGTAGGAGGACTGTTTCTGGTATCTATTTAATTGAGTTAGTTTTTGGTGTGTATGGTGCAGGGCACCCATGTACCTCCGAGCACGCGTAGACGTCACAGGACACTCACATTGGGTGCTGGCCCTCACCGTTCACTGCTGCCAATGAGACTCCACGGGCCCACAAGATGCGAGGCATTTTCCTGTTTCTGCCTTCTGTCTGGACCTAAGGGTGCTGGATTACAGATGCATCCCACTGCATCCAGCTCTCCATGGGTCCTGGGAACCCGATCTCTGAGCACTTTACTCTTTGTTTTTCTTCTAGAGACAGGGTTTCTCTAAGTGGTCCTGACTATCCTGTCCTGTAGATGAGGGTGGCCTTGAACTCACACAGATCCGCCTGACTCTCGAGTGCTGGTAATAAAGGTGAGTACCACACCACCATGCCCAGTCAGTCTTTTAAGCCCTGCTCCCAACCCTGTTTGCGTATGAATGTATGTTCATGTACACCGCACTTCTGGAGGCCAGCATATGCTTGAAAAATGAGGACATCACCGCTCTTAGGTATGGTTGAGAAGGGCTTTGTTGTAGAATTGAGGGAGAGCACAGTCAGAGGTATCTGGAAGGGTCTGGACTGAAATGGGTGATGAGTGGAGGGCCAGGGGACAGTGAGACAGGAGAGACACACACATACATATACATACACACATACATATACATACACACACATACACACATACATATGCATACTCACACATACATACACATATACACATACATATACACATACATACACACATACATATACATACACATACACACCACACATACACACATACATATGCATACTCACACATACACATACATACACACACATACATACACACATACATATACATACACACACATACACACATACATACACACATCCATACACACACATACACACACATACACGTGTGTGCGAGAATGGCTGAGTTATCTAGGTATCTGGAACAGGGGAAGGGCAGTGAAGCCCCTGGGCTGGAGAGGTTTAGGGTAGGGGGAGGGGTGAGAAGTGCTGGGAGAAGCCACAGGGACTGAGACTTGTCCTGGGTTTCTTTGGGACCTGACAGTTTTTTTGCTGCAAGATAGGATACATCGAAAGACAATTGACTTATCATCAGCACACACTATAAATTTCAGCTGTTTCATAAAGGCCTTTGAAACAGCCAGGTGTGGTGGTATATACCTGTAAACCCAGCACCTGGGAGATAGAGGCAGGAAGGTTTCTGTGAATCCGAGGTTCACCTGGTCTACTAGTGAGACCCTATTAAAAAAAAAAGGTCTTGGAAAACAGAAAACATTCTAAAGCTAAGCTGAGGCGGAAACCCCACCTGGTACAGCATCCTAAGGGTGGTGAGATTTTAGCAGAGTGACTGACATTACAAGCAGAAACCCCACCTGACACAGGTGAGGTGCCCAGTAAGCAGCATTCTAGGCAGTGAGATTTTGGCAGAGTGACTGACATTACAGCAGAAACCCCACCTGACACAGCTGAGGTGCCCAGTAAGCAGCATTCTAGGCAGTGAGATTTTGGCAGTGGGACTGACTCTACAGAACTGATCGTGATGATGCTGGGGGCAGGGTTTCCCTGCTCACAATTAAAGCGAAGGAGATGTGGGGATGCAAGTTCACAAACTGGGCAAGGGCTGGGTCTTAAATCCAGACGCTCCGTGAGTAAGCAGTTTCCATTACACTTTGTCACGTGAAGGCTTGAGGTCACTATACATTGTGCTGTGCTCACCATCTTTGCCAAGTGACCCCTCTTCCGACAGGACTGACTGGAAAACAGGCTTTCCCTTTCTTAAAATGGGCACCAAAATGATATGACGCCTCTTCATATAAAAACCCTGAGCGCAAAATAATTTCTCAAAGAGACATTTAAGAACGGCTCCGACTTACTCCCTGTGGGTCTTCTGACTCCGCCTTGCACCGTCTGCTTCCTGCTTTGTGGTTGCTACTGCCTCACCGAGGAAGCTTTTACACAGTGGCCGAGCCTTTGGCTACAGTTCTCTCTTTTGCCTTCCTGTTTTCTCCCTCCCAAGCTTAAGTACATACTCAAACTGGAAGGAAGACTGTGGTTAAGAAGCTGGTTATGGGGGCTGGAGGGACGGCTCAGTGGTTAAGAACACAGCTATTCTTCCAGAGGACCTGGGTTCAATTCCTAGCACCCACATGGCAGCTCACAACTGTCTGTAAAACCAGGATCCAACACTCTCACACAGACACACATACAGGCAAATACCACGGGCACCCGTAAGTACATACACAGAGAGAAACAAATAAAACCCTTTAAAAACAAAACAAAACAAAATTCACAGGCCTGGTTGCAGATGGGGCCCTCCTGGTTTGCTTTTTTAAAAAGTCTGCTTGGTAAGTTCCAGGCCAGTTAGAGATCGTGTCTAAAAAGAAAAAAGAAAAGAAAAGACAGATGTCAGCCAAGGACCAGCACCCGAGGCTGCTCTCTGGCCGCATATTATACACGTGTGGACACACAGAAGCAGACTACGCCAGGAGGAGCTGACAACAGTGGTAAAAATTCTTCCCCAGTTAAGCATTGTTAGGTACGATACAGTTGACAGGTAACGGCTGTTTATACAGAGACAGACTTTTACTAGCTAGCATCCTTGGACTTAGTTATAATTAAGCATGTTTTACAGTACTGTCTTTAGGTCCAGGTCCAATGTCCCTGCCCACTCAGCTCTTTTCCTATTGCAAAAGGTAAGGAGACCATGAGGTCAAGAAACCTGCAGACCTTCCACACTGCTCAGATGGTAGGGCACTCTTAGCTGCTGATCATGTCACTATTTTTAGGAAAACGATGTATGTACTTATTTTAAACACATCATGAATATGTATGCTTTTTTTGTATAGCGGGTGGAGAGTTGGGGCAGAAGAATGGAATCAATCGGGGCCGTGAAACTTTTAAATTTGGCTTTCCAGATCATCGTGGACGTCGCTTTGTTCAAAGCAGCAGAACAGATTTGTTTCAGTCACGTTCTATCGTTCTATGGATTTTCATGAAGAGGTTTTAAAGGAAAGCATTTAACTGGGGGCTTGCTTACAACTTCAGAGCACTGGTCCACTCTCACCAGGACAGGAAGTGGACAGGCAGGGTTCGGGAGCAGTAGCTGAGAGCTTTACGTCCTGACCCCGTAGGCAGAGAGAGACAGAGCCTGGAATGATCTTTTGAAACCTCAAAGACACACCTATCCTAACAAGGCCACGTCCTCCTAACCCTTCCCAAACAGTCCCACTAACTGGGACCAAGTACTCCAACAAGCCTATGGGGACCACTCTCATTCAAACGACCACAGTATTTTACACGAGTTTGTCATTTTGATTTATAAGGGTCCATGAGCATCCACAACCATATTTTTGCTCAGATTCACCAAGTTTAGGAATATATCTGCTCGTAGTATATTATGGGGCAAGAAATAGTAACTGCACACAGTGCATTGTAGCCTTCAGGTCAGATTCTCCTGAATTAAAATGTGAGGTGAGTGCTGCAAACTCCCTGACAAAAAGGCGCTCTCTTTGGGGTTAGCAGCTGCAAAAGTTATTTTAGGGGTTGGAGACATGGTCAACAGGTAAGAGCACTTATTGCTCTTGCAGAGACCATGGATTTGTTTCCTAGTAAGGCTCACATTCCAGGGAATCCTTGGGGCTGGAGAGATGGTTCAGAGGTTAAGAGCAGTGGCTGCTCTTCCAAAGGTCCTGAGTTCAATTCCCAGCAACCACATGGTGGCTCACAACCATCTATAATGAGGTCTGGTGTTCTGGTATGCAAGCAGAATACATATATACATAATAGATACACATAATAGATAATAAATCATCAATCCTAAAGAAATTCATAGGTACCAGGCATGTATGTGGTCACATATATACCTGCAGACAAATACTGGTACACATACAATAAAAATAGAGAAGATATTTAAAAATTTATTTTACTTTAGCTTTTTAGCCAGATATTCATGAGGCCAAAGTTAGCCTTGAACTCCCTATGTGCTTAGTTGAACTTTTGGTCTTCCTGCTTCTACCTCTCAGATGCTAGGATCACAGCGCTGTATCACCATGTCTGATGAGAAATTATTTTAATTGTAATGGTTTCAGTGTGATTTTGAAATCTTGAAGAAGACAAATAGAGGCTAATAGTAACCATGTAGTTAGATCTGCTCACTTAACACAGAGACAACAGAGGTCTCACCAGGCAAAGTGGCTTGGCAAGGAGACTGGTGAGCAGCTGACTCCGGTCCTGTCTTATCTCTCACCACACGCAGTCAGCACGCTTCAGCGCTTGCTCTCACTGCTAGAAACTATGCATTTCGATACTTAATAGCTGAGATGCATAAATATATAGTTGTATGTTATTTAGTAGATCATTAAACAGTCACTTCCTTCCTGGAAATCACCCCACCGCACGAGCAGATGCTTTCTAAAGAGAGAAAATGGAAAAGTGAACCTTAAAAAGATTACTAGACCAACTGATACTAGTCATAGAACTTGAGTCTGTTAGGAATGCCCAGATCAGACAATCTGCAGTACTAAACAGTCTTTATTTTATTGTCTTATTTGCATTGTTTCCTTAGGACATTTCCATACATGTATATATAGCCTTGTTTGCTCATATCCATACCACAACCCTCTCACCTCTTTGTTGATGGCCCCTCTTTCTTCAAGTAGTCCCTCTCTGCTTTCATACCATATACTGATTCGTTTCCCATAAGTGAGAACATGAGGTAACTTTCTTCCTCTCATTTCCTTAATTCTGTTTCCCTGTCTACTTTTTTACATGAAATACATATGCGTATGTATGTATGTAGATTCAAATCTAGATTTCATACATCAGACAAAATATGCGAAATTTGTCTTTCTGGGTCTTGCTTCAGGAAATATTCTTTTTGTCAACAATCTTGTTCTAAAAACCAAAGGGAAAAAAAAATGAGGCTGGACATAGTGGTGGACGCTGGAAGAGGGTGGGGGGGGGGATGAACAGGTGGGGAATGGCAGAGGCTGGCAGGGTCTGTGAGTTTGAGGCCAGGCTAGTCTACATCACGTTTCAGGATAGCTAAGACTACACAGAGAGACTACGACTCAAAAAAAATCAAACCAAACAAACAAACTAAAAGATGTATTTATAAACAACATTAAAAATTCCAAGTCCTAAGGCAGTGGGGATGAGACCAAAACAAAGGTAACAAAATAACAAAGTATTCTAATTTCCTGAAGCCAGTAGACTATTCTTGAGAGGTAACTATAAACTCTGCAGAAAGTAACAGTTACTGTTGGTAGGGATCACACAATTTTTCCCCTGGTGAGCTAATTTATCACTTCTTATCTTTACATCCAGCCTTTGGAGATTCTGAACTCATTCAGGATCTAAGAGGCACGCCCTGACTAAGGCTTCCACGGTGTTGTAACCCATACCTCCCTAATTCCGAATATTTGAGATAGAAGTCAAAGCACATGCTTGGCGAACTCTGAAATATAGAAGTCCAACTTGATTTTTCAAACATTTATAAACATCGCTAACAGAATTTTTTTTTTCCCGGTGAGTTAAAGGTACAATTAAAGTTAAAATCTTTAACACTGAAGCTCAGTTTAAAGTGATTTTTATCTTCCCGCTCCAAAGAGATCCAAGTTCTGGCTCTGCAAGAAACTCTTTTAAAGCATTAACACTTACGACATCAGTTAAAACAAGGCATCTCTGCACTCTTGTAGCCTTTCCGGTCAATCGGGTTCTCGACCAAAACAACGCCGGATCCCGGTTTGCAGAGCGTGCAGAGGCAGGAGGGACCCGAGCCAATCATGGCAGAAAGAGAAAGCGGTACAAGTAGGTAAGGCAAAGTCTCCGGGGCGAACGGCAGCGCTACCTCGGTCCTGACAGACGTCGGGGCTCTTCCCGCGACGCCCGATTTCCCCGGGGCGCCTGCCGCGCGCCCTCCTTCCCGGCAGCTCCGCCACCGGCCGCACCGAGAGGCCCTCTGACCTCCGCCGGAGGCCCGCTCGCTGATCCCGCCCCGACGGCCCACGTCAGCGCCTTGGATTGGCCAGTTCCAGGATCCCTCAGTCGAGCAGGCCCAATGGCAGCTCGGCCGCGGCCTGGAGACCCCGCCCCGTGCCCCCGCGCCGGGGAGCGGACGAGAGTAAATACAAGAGGAGCGCAAGATGGCGGCCCCGCCGAACCCCGCTCCGGGCGCCGCGGCCGCGCTCTCGGACAGGGAGGCGTTCGGCAAGCTGCAGCCTGCCTCGCGGGAGCCTCCGGGGGCGGCGTCCGCCAAGAAGGTCCGGACCGAGGAGCGGAAGGCGCCGCGGAGAGTGAACGGCGACGGCAGCGGCGGGAGGCAGCCTGCGAGCTACGGCGGCCCGGCGGCTTGGAGCTTCGCGCCCGCCTCCTCCTCGTCCTCCCCGGCCGCCGCCCGGAGCTGCTTCTCCCCGCCGGCCTCCGCGGCCCCCGCTCCCCCGCCGCAGCCGCTGCCGCGCACGCTGCTGCTCGCCCCCTCGCTGCTGCACGCGCGGCCCCAGCACGTCCTGCTCCCGCCCGCCGCGCCGCCCTCCTCCTCCTCCTCCTCCGCCGCCGCCGCCGCCTCAGCCGCCGCCAAGCCGCGCAGACCCAAGGACCCCAAGGACCGGCGCGAGCGGGAGAAGCGGAGGCACGGCCTCGGCGGCGCCGCCCGGGATGAGAACGGCGAGGCCAGGCCGGCGTCGCTGCAGCCGCAGCCGCCGCGAGGTGGGTGCCGCCGGGGGAGGGGAGCGGCCGGGGCGCGGGCCGCACGGAGGGAGGGAGGGTGGCGGAGACTCCCGTTTAGGGCGCCGCGGGACGTGCACGGGGCTGGAGGACTCCCCGCCTGGGCGCAGTCGGCTAGGGACGGAGAGGGGAAGAGAGGTCTTTAGAGATCGGACGGGTCGCAGGGTTCGTATTGGCGACGCAGCCTCCAACGCCAGAAAAATCCTGTAAAAAAAAAAAATTAAAAGAAAAAAAAGAAGAAGAAAGAAAAGAGAGAAAGAAAGTGCGTGCGTGGTGGGTGTACCGGCAGAAGCTAGAAGCGTCCAGGACCAGCACGTTTCTTTCCTATTAGGGAAGTGGGGTAGTGCGCGCGGCACCGAGTGTTTGGTTTCTGAGGTGCCCGCCTTTCACTTTTCGAACTGCTTCATGTTCTTAAAGTGTTTAGAGCGGTCTCGTCTTAAATACTACCCTTCAGGAGCATTCAGCCGTATTCTTTCTCCCTCCTGCAGCAAATGATAAAATCAGATGCCTTGACTTTTTTTTTTTTAATGGCCAAGTCAAGTGACTGCGTAAGAAATGGGCAGTTAGTTTTCTTAAATGTCATTTTCCAGTATGCTTTTGTAACTTAAGCTGGTATAGTTTTCAGTGTTTCCTAACGAGTCTTTAGTTATCTGTGGCTGTGTGGAGCTCTGACTGTAATACACAGTGGATGAGCCGGAAACTAGATCTTTATGAGATCACGAGGTTACAGAAATATACATTGTCATTGTCGCACAGTGTTTGGAAGTGCTGTTTTGTTTTGCAGCGCAAGTGAAATGCCAAGCAGTTTTAGCCTTGCTGATCTAATGGTAGCTTAGATCTTGAAAAAATTATCTGAATAGAATATATTCATCATTTAAAGGCATGCATGCGACCCATGTACATTTCTGCATCCGAGCCAAGCGAGTGGACCTGTGTTCCTGGTCCCAGTGAAACCCTGTAACGCGGTTCCAGTTTTCGAGAGTGTTGCTTCAGGAAGGCTCAATTTGAGGATGACATTTATTTCCTTCTGCTCTGGAGTTGTAGGTGGTTAAGTGTTTTAAACGTCTGTGTCGCAGTGGCTAAATAAAAAGTAAGTTATAAAGTGCTTCAGAGTCCATCCGTACGCAGTTTGGTCTTGCTTGTGTAAACTTCCCGTTTGCTTCTTACTAATCGCTGCAGAAATTAACCCCATTGTTGGAGTATTCGAATGATGAGAGGAAATAAGCGTTTTAAGAAATGATATTGGCTTATAACATAGCATACATGTGTAGTCTACATATATATAACACAAAGATATATGACCATAATGGTGAAGTGACTGTCTTAAATGACGTTTAAAACCCTTTTGGGGACTGTTGCGGTGGTTTGGGCATTTGCCATGTAGCATGACAATCTGGGTTCAGTCCCCAGGACCCACAGGATGGAGGGAACCAGCTTCCCACAAGGTGTCCTCTAACCTCCAGGTCTTCTGTGACAATAAGTGTGCCCCTCCAAAGAAATGTAGTAACCCCCGAACCTAAACCCCTTCTGTTGTGGGCTACCTGTTACTTTTAAGTATAAGCAATGACAGTGTTTAAGTTAAGAGGTGGGAAAGATATTTTCCCATGACCCGTGTGGGATAATGAGTAGATGGTAATTGTTTTCTCTTCCTCTGTGTCTCTCTCTTCTCTCTCTTTCTTTCTGTTTTTGTTTTTTTGAGACAGGGCTTGTCTGTGTAGCCTTGGCTATCCTGGAATTCACTTTGTAGACCAGGCTAGCCTCGAAGTCAGAGATCTATCTGTTAGAATTAAAGGTGGGGCCACTACTTGTTAACTATTAACTTTAAATAATTTATTTTTTTTGGCTAGAAGCAGCACTTTTGGGGGGGGCAATTAAAATCAAAGCAAAAGATAGCTTTTCAGTATTTTGGTGCACTCTAGGGTTTGAATTTGACTGCATCTAGGTTCTGCTTTAACAAAAAAAAGTGATAACAAAGTAACAAGATTTTTAGATATATTTGTTTCATAGATTGTTGCAAGTATAGGCAGTGTTTATTTTCTGTGCGTTTTATACAAATCTTAGTGAATGAATAAGTGATTGTTGTTTGACGGATATACTCTTTAAATGAATCTCTAAGTTGGCGGTACTAGTTCAGAAACCCCTTGTTTACATACAACACATTGACTTAACAGACTAAGTACCAGAAATTAGGTATAAAGACGTTTGAGAAAAATAGATCTTGCCGGGCAGTGATGGCACATGACCTTAATCCCAGCACTGGGAGGGGGTGGGGGTGGAAGAGGCAGGCAGATCTCTGAATTCGAGGCCTGGTCTTCAGCCCGAGTTCCAGGACAGCCAGGGCTACACAGAGAAACCCTGTCTCAAAAAAAAAAAACAAAACCAAAACAAAAAGAGAAAAAACTAGATCTCAGTTCTGCACCTGTATTAACCTTCACTGCTGTGTTTACATACGGTTTCAAACATCTTTAGAACTGTTTCTTTGTTGTTTATTTGTTTTTGTTTGTTGTGTTGTTTGTAGCTCTGGCTGGCCAACTACCATGTAGAACAAACAGGCTGGCTTCAGCCCAGTTAGTGCTGGGATTCGGGTGTGAGCCACTACATCTTGTGTCTGGGCCATCACACCCGGCTAGATCTTAGCTTCATTTACCTAACAGAAGCATTCAGATAAAGTAAATGTGTATTTGAAACAATCTGAGACAACATTTAATAGTTGCTGAGTCTGAAGCATGGCTATTAATTTTCCTAACCCTACCGTGAATTAAAGGTGGGTCGGTCCTAACCCACCTTTCAAGCCAGGAGGGCCCTAATGTAGGCGCCTTGCGCACAGAGCTGACATGGTGTGTGCCTGTCGTCTCCAAGGGTCTGATGGGCTGTAGCTGTGCACAGGCTTCAGGGCTTACATAGTGTTGTGCAGTTCAGGCAGGCTTTAGAACTGTCCTCTTCCTCCTGAGATCCACCTGCCTCTGACTCCCGAGTGCTGGATTAAAGGTGTGCACCATCACTGCTCCACATCGGACTGAATTTTTAAAATTACAAAATAACCATATGAACTACTAAAGTTTTCTTTAACACCAAGTGACATTTGAATTGAAAAGTATAGAAATAGGCATGATGGTGCATGCCTTTAATCCGAGCATTTGAGAGGGAGCCAGAGGATTTATGGTCTTAGACCAGCCTAGGCTACCTGTCCTTTTAAAAAAAAAAAAAAAGTAAAAACGGTGTGCCGGAACGACGGTGTGCTGAGGGTGCCATGCGCTTTCACACGCTCCAGCGATGGACTGTTTTCTGTCTGTGTCTGTGTCGCTGGGTGTATGTGCAGCCTGGGGTTTATGTGTGCTGCATGCTCATACAGAGGCCAGACGAGGGATTCGGGTGTTTTCTATTGCTCTCTACCTCACTGCCTTGAGATAGCATCTCTCACCAAACCAGAAAGCTTGTCTGTGGCTAAGCTGACAGGCCAGAGTGCTCTGTGGGTCCCCGCCTGTCCCCCAGTGCTGGGGTAACAGTCACACTCACGTCCTCATGAGGAGCAGCCAGCTGCCTGCCCACTGAGCCACCTTCCCAGTCCCACTCTTCTGAGAGGTGATAGTCCGCTAAGGTTGTGTTTGGGGTGACCTATTGTACCCGCCCCCCCCCGCCTCCACCTCTGTCTTCTAGTGAAGTCTTCCTGTACCCTCCAGCAGCTTCTTCTCTAACATGCTTCTTCATATAATTTTCCATGTAAACGACAATCCCTTCTGTCCCTTCTTCCTGATTTCGTCCGGTCACTTCCTCTTAAAGGCCTGTGCATAAGCTGTCTGCCCTGGGCCTTGAGCTCACTGACGACGCCCCAGGTTCTTTCCTTGCTGTTTGTTTTGTTCCTTTTTCTGGTAGGTTACTCTCATAGTCTCATTTTTTCTACTAGTAGTACTGTGAGGAATATGTAGAAACTGTAGTTTTTTGGGGTTTGATTTCCCCCCACACTGGACTGTTGAGGATTTTCTCAGACCGCCTGCCCTGGAAAGTCTGCAGATGAGCCCTGTTGTCCCCTCTGGTGCTGCAGTTGTCCGCTCTGTTTCGGGGTGTGCCAGCTCTTTCACTGAGTTTTACAATTTCAGCTTTAAAGAAAAAGAAGAGTGTAAGCCTTGTGTTTTTCTTCCTGTATTGTAATACCTTTCTTTAAAACCGACCGGGCTTAGCATCTCTGTTATTTCTTCAAGGAAGCTAATTATAGTTTCTTTGAAATGTTCTGTTTCCTGCCTTGCTTTGGTTGTACTAATCTTTTTTTCCTGTTTGTTTTGGTCTCATTTATTTGGAGGCTGCCCTCAAGTCTGTCTTATTTTTAGCAGTTCTTTCAATTTAGAGAAAGT